TGAGTCTGTTGATGTGTTTCCCAGTTATTAGAAGGTTGCATCTCCTACTCTCTTGACATTTGAATGTTTTGCCCGGTCTCCTCTGATACGCTTCCCAGGGTGATGATTTATTCTGGGCCAGGCTGGCAGCTTCTTTTGACTGCTCTTTTGCAAGGAGCTGTATGAGGACAGCCACTAGGTTTATTTTTACATCCATTGCAGGACAAAATCCACATTTTCAGTTGCGTGTTGGGCACTCTGATTTAAGAAGTCGTGAGAAATCTCTTGGCCAAAATAAACATTTGCTAAGAGCACTCCTTTCTCTGAATCAAGCCCTTACGCCTGGAAGCCTAAGATTTCGTTAAGCCATAATCAGCCATGGTCACCCATGACGGAGAATACAATGATCAAGGAGACATTTACATGGAGCTGTGAGCGCACTTTTGGGTCTGTCCTCGGGTTGATTTTATAGCTTTAGTTTTAAAATAGTTCTTTCATTCCACCGACGACTGCCGTTTCTCTACCCAGCCCTGCGTGCAAGCCGGGTGACAGCTGTCGTCCAGGCTGTCCGTGCTGGCTGGGGCACCTGTCCCAGTGACGTGTGGGGGAGGTCCCAGACTTCATCTGTCACGGGCAAAAAGACATGGCAAGCACTCTTCAAAGGGGTACTCGCTTCCACACGCCCAGAGCACCCCAGAAGGGAGTCTCTCATCGCTCTGTTGGCTGGCGAGGCCCGGGGAGTTCACTTTGGCTTGTCAGCTTGGGGCTGATGAAAGGCACAGAGCAGTGGCGCTGAGGCCTAAGCTCGGGATCCTCTGCCTTGGGGCCTAGCCCCCGATTCCAACAACATTAAGCGTACCAGCTTAACGGTCCTAAAGCCATCTCCTGTCTTCTTGTTTCCATTTCTGTAAACAAAGCCCAGGTTGGAGTTCCTGACACCTGAGCGAGGGGGAAGAGCACCTGCGCTTCTTTGTCACTTGCATTTTACCTTGGTATATCCAGAGAAGTGCCGCAAAATGGTCCTGTGCCTTTATTGTTTTCATTCGTGTCCTTATTGCTGAAACTTCGTTAGTGCGTGTCTCATTGCCATTGGGCTGGGCTTTATTGTGGCTCTCCCAGAGGCGGGTTGGTCCCTGTTGATAGTACCCTTCTCTTATCTAACAGTGGACGTATCTCTTGGTTGGGCTCTTGTTGATTTGATTTTAATGTCACTGGATTTAAGAAAATCTACTTAGCTAATAAGTATTTCAGGTATTAACTTTTTTGCAGTTATAGATTAGCGTACAAGTACACCGGACTATAGAGTCGGGCTCTGGTTTACATCTGAAATCTTCCATTTACTAGTTCTGGGTCTTTGAGACCAGAACTTAGTATCTCAGCCTATGATGTTCCTAGAAATCAATCAGTGGGCACTCAGTCACTGTTGATTTCCTTGTTGAAAACCCATGTTTCTGTTGAATAGATGTATATGAATTCCATTTATCAGCCGTAAAAGTGTATCTAGGTTGTTGGGATGGGTGGACCAACCCACTCCCCTCGGGTGGAACCACTCACAGTCGCTGGTTGACGGGGCTTTGCCGCCTCACCGTTTCTACCATCAGGCCGGTTCACCTTCGCCAGCCTGAGTAAGAGAGGCAGCAGCGAGCCGCACGCCATAAATCACTCTTGCTCTCCATTGAAGTCTCAAACTAAAAAATCTACTCTAAACTACACATTTGCTCCTCTTAAAGGGTTAGATTATGAACTGTTGGAAATCAAGGACTCCCGCACAGCCATTTTCATTTGCGGTGGGTTCAGAGTATCGTTATCTTGGCGCTTGGAGAGGAAGTGCCGGGAGTGCCAAGCACAGTGCCACGCAGCCCGCGGGCTCGGAGCCGTCTCTGCTGCCCAGCCGGCCTGCAGCAGCCCTTCTTCCCAAGTTGCGGCACGTGGCCTAAGGTGTTCTACCGTTGGAGTTGAGGGGTGTCTGGCCTGCTAGGGGTCCATTTTTTAGGGGACTGTGGAGCCTCCTGGGAAACTCTCCATTCTAGGGAACAGAGTACCAGGGTGCGCGATCTCAACCAGAAATTGGAAGGCAGGAGTGACTCCAAGCCTCAAATGGACTTGGTTTTCTCAGTGGTCCACAGTCCGCAGGCTGAGCAGGAGCTGGGGAGGGGCAGTGACGAAGGTGGGGAGGGTTGCGGGTGAACAGGGACAATCGGTAAAAATGGAAAATGGTGCTTTTGCTTTAAAAACACCTTCGACTTTGGAGCAGAAGTGCACCTTCGACTTTGGTGCCATCTGGGAAGCTGCTGTCTAGCAGAAACCTGTTGGAGACACCTCCGCTGTGCACAGAGCACAGCTGCACTTGGGCACCCCGTTTGCCAGCCGCAGCGCCTCGTGGGAACGGGGGTGCCCAGCAGAAGTGGCAGCCGTCACTCACAGAGGTGGCTGTTCAGGCAGCCCAGGAAACAGGGTGGCCCCTCGCCATCGCTCAGTGGGTAATAAAGGCCTTAATTGCCTGGTGTGGCGGGAGGCGTGCTCACCTGCGTGTCTGTCCTGGGGCCTCCAGAAAACGTCTGGGAGAACCCAGCAGGGGCCTGTGACATGCGTGCTCCTGCCAGCCCCATCGCAGCTCTGAGAAGGGAGCCCTGCTTGCGCCTGGGAAGTGGGCGTGCAGTCCCCCGCTTAGCGCGCAGGTTTGACAAAGCAGCCATGCTGGGGGCAGGATGGAGTGCTCTTGGGAGGTGCTGGGAGGAGAGAGAAAAAGTGTGATGGGGGGAAAAAAGTTTGTGGTGTCACACGATCGTTGAGTGCAAACGTATTCTTTTTTCCAGCTTATCGAGGCAGAGTTAAGCCATAAAGTTGTAAGATCGTTAAAGTGCACAACATGATGATTCGATACATGTGTTCACTGTGAAAGGAATCCCCACCTTGAGTTAATTAACACATCTAACACCTCACGTATTTACCTTTTGGTTTTTAATTTTTTCGGTGAGAACATTTAAGCTTCACTCCTGTAGCACATTTTAATTATCTAATACAGTGTTATCAACTGTGGTCATCACGGTGTACGGTGTACGTTAGACCCTCAGACCTTATTGGTCCTACAGCTCGAAGGGCGTAGCCTTTTAACAGCCTCGCCCTGTTTTCTCCGCCCATGGGCCCCAGACAGGCACGCCTCACTTTTCTACTCTGGTTCTCCGAGTTTGACATTTTTTAATTTTTTTTTTTATTACGCATATTACCGATACCATGTAATATTTATTTTTCTCTGTCTGACTTATTTCACTTAGCGGAATGCCCTCCAAGGTCATCCGTGTTGTTGCAAATGACAGGATTTCTTTCAAGTAGACTGTAAGGTAATCGCGCTATCAGTATTTCTCAGCCTCGAGTGCCGTACAAGGCACTTTCAAAGACTGTGTTGCTTGACGAGACATAAACATGAATTGGGTCTAAACTACGTGTGATTACATTTCTAGATAACCACAAAGTGAAAAATTTACAACTGAATACTAAAAACCCTCCCTGTGAAATCCTGTGAAAGGATGTCAATGAATGATATTCATGGATGGGATGAATGATTTTGTTTTGCTTGAATTATAATCATGGTACAAGGTAAAAATTCAGCGTGGTTGGGAACCGTGCACGGATTTTGGGATTCCGAAAGCCTCCCCGGCATGGCCTTGGGGAGGCTCCCCTTCCGCCCTCTCTCATCCATGTAACTGCTGAGAGCAGTATTGTCCTATGGCCAACTCACCCTTAATTGACTTACACCCAGGAAACTCGTTTTATTGGCACGTGCCCAAGAGAAGTTGCAAACCTTCGGACAACCTGCTTGTTCTTCAAGCACTTGAAAGCTGTTCAGGAGATAGACTCTGGTGAGAGGCAAGTTGTCTGTGAAATCCCTGAATTCTGCAAACGAGTGGTGGCTTATGTTTCCCAATGAACTTGCCTGGCTTTCTAAGGTGACATCACAGCATGAATTTTCTGAGAATCTTTGAGACTCAAGGAAGAGCATCTGCTTGTAAAATCTTTCCACTTTGCCTTGTGCATTGGGCTCAGGGCCAAGGGAGGAGGGAGCAGGAGCTTCCACTCTTCACTCCTGCAGAATTCGCCTGCGAGGCGCTGATTCAGGAGACTGTGTTGTAAGAGCCTTGCCTTTGGCTTGCCGTGGTGAGGATTCGCGAAGAATTTCAGCATCTGCTCTTTCTGTGGCCTGAAGTCACACAGAGCAGGATATCCCATTCTCATCCCAAACCTTTCCCTTTTAAAGGTGTGCACAGTCCACTTTTAGGGATAGGACAACCCTTTTGCTCCTGCTCTCCGTCTCTCCCGGGAGAGCGAACAGTCAGTATCCCAGGACGGTTCTGAGATTCTGGCTCTGAACATGTATCCAGGAGAGCAGACTTCTTTACTCTTTCATATTTTGGCCCCATTTTTGGCCGTGGAGGCTTTGTGAGCTTTCAAGGTCCATGAGAGCTCGGGGTGCCATGGCTGTTTGCCTCTCGCCGTGCTTGGCTTTCCTCTTTCTCTCTGTCTTTGAGTCTGCCATCTGAGAGACTAGCTCCATGATAGTGTTGTCATTTCCAATCATGGCCACCACCTCTGGTCACCCCTTCCATTGTCCTCTTTCTTACATCTTCTTCAATGTTTCTCTTCTTTTGGGCAAATGAGTTCTCCTATATCACCATCACCAGCCAGTCAGAATGGTCTGTTCGCTTTTCTTTTTTCTTTCAATGGCTGACAGACAAGTCCCACTATGTCAGGGATACTTTGGGACACTCACCTCCTACTCAGAACAGCACAGGAACTGGACAAGCGGTGAATGTGATGATTCGCAGCCCCAGGATGCTCTGTAACAGCCGCCCTGGAAGGCGCTGGTGTCCCCACGTTCTTCCGTAGGGGACTGTCCCTTGGCTCTCTCCTCAAATTCAGCCACGAAGACACGGCAACTGTCCTGGAGCTCAGGGGCAGGTCTCCCCCAAGCGCTGTGGTACCTCTCAGACTCCCTTCACGGTTCCTCTCCTTTCCATGCGCAGGACTCTCCTCCAGCAACTCCAGAAGCTGCAGACTTTGGTGATGGGCAAGGTTTCTCGCACCTGCAAGTTGGCCGGCACGCAGACTGGCACCTGCCTCATGGTGAGTTTCCCAAAGAGACGGTGCTGTCACTTCCCCGCCCTCCTCCAGTCTCTTCCCAGCTCACCGAGTCCCAGTGCTGCGGGGTTGGAACAAGCATGCTGCCCACTCTGAGGGCGTGGCCTTGGGTGCCATCTGCTGGCCTGGCGGAGGGAGTCTTTCTCCCCAGCCTCCCGGGTGTCACGGGTCTAAAGGTTTGCTCTGTGGACCTTGGAACCGACAGCTCCTGCGTTCTCCCTCTCCCTGCAGGTCGTTGTGCTATGCTTTGCTGTGGCATTCGGCAGCTTCTTTCAGGGCTATGGGCCCTATCCTTCGGCCACCAAGATGGCTCTGCCCAGCCAGCATTCCATGCCGGAGCCGTACGCAGCCTCCGTCGGTAAGGCCGCTCTTAGCCACTTGGGAAGGGACTTTGCTTCATTTCTCTGGAGCTTTCTGAAGAGAGTCTTATGTTAAAGTCTGGTTTTTAAAAAGTGGTCCAAGTGTAGCTTCTCCATGGAAGGGAGGGAAGAGGCAGCTGGCGGGTCGCACCCGCCTGCTGAGAATTTTCTAAAGCTCCGCAGAGCACGCTTTGCAAACTACTGCTCATGACTGTGTTCCCCGGCACATTCTGATGTCTCCATCTGAGTTTGGGGAAGGAGGAGGGATGTGGCTTTTGTGGGGGAGGGAAGCACTAAGCTCTCATGACACTTTAGGGGGAAATCCTGTGTTTCTACATCCATGCAGTAGAAACGTATGTGCCATTGTAAGAGTTCATAAAACAAAAATAGTCAGTCTGTCGTACAAAAACATCATGCCCAAGATTTAAAGACTTTGGAGACTGAGGTGTTAGACGAGAAATACGGGATGTGCTCGCCTAGATCAATGATCTCTTTGAAACACGCAGGACATAAACAGGTGGCAGGTAGGGATCCTAATCCACACCAATGCACACAGAGGCCAGGTGTGGGATTAGGGGCTATTGGACTGGAGCGAGTACCATTTTGCAGCTCTGCGCGTTCATGTCCTCCCCAGGCAGGCATTCCCCGTCAGGTCAGGTGCGTGGCCGAGACGCTGGCATTGCCACCAAATAATTTCAGTGCTCTCTTGGGAAAGTCTTGTTTCCCTAAGCAACCAGGTCTCTACATTTAAATGGAATCCCATGAGAGCAGCTGTTGTACTGAGCCATCTAGCTATGCAACTGCTTTATGGGACAAAAGAGACTGTTCCCCCAACCCCCCGATTTGATTTATTTATGGCTTTGCATCTTCACTCCAGTTTCTAAATGAAAATGGAGCTCCCAGCCTTAGTACCTTCTCTCCACGCAAGACCAGCTCGCTGGGAAGGCCGATGTTAGCTGGGTCTGGACATGTCCGGGTACTGCACTCCCACTGTCTATGAAGCGTTTCCCTCAGGTGGTTCAGGTGGGCAAGGAGGAGAGTTTTATTTTCAGAGCAGTGGGGTAGCCATTTGCATCTTGTTTATTTGCTTTTCTGTTGTTCTTCCCGCACTGTATTTTTGCTGTAATTTTTCAATGCACAGAACTCTGAACCCTTTATGGAAAGCCAACTCTAGTTGACACCTCAGTCTGGGGCAATGAGACCCACAGATTGCCATCTGCCCCAGCCCTGAGCATCGAGGGAGGGGATGGGATGTGCCCTCGTGGTCTCTCTCTAATGCCTGTCACTGCGCTCCGTCCTCAGTGAAATCCAGGAACCTGCTGATCTACGAGGAACACTCTCCGCTGGAGGAGCCGTCCAGCCCGGCCTCGGCAGGGGAGCTCGGGCGCTGGGACAGGAGCCCCTCCCTGCTCCGGGCATCGGGGCTGGAGTCCATGCCGGACGTGGATCTTCCCCGCTTCATTATCTCGAACGAGACCAGCCTGGAGAAGTCAGTGCTGCTGGAGCTGCAGCAGCACCTGTGAGTCAGCGGGACACAGGTCCCAGCCCTCGAACGCCCAGACCACGGGTTGCGAGTCAGTAACTGGGCCACAGGGCCGAGATGCACCCATAGGCCTCGTCCAGGCCTCTGGCTCTTCCAGGGCCTGTTTCCAGGGCCTCTGGAGAGTCTACTATTTGCCAATAGAGGCCCTTAGCAGAGATGGGGAAAAGACTGCCCATGTCTGCTATGTCACTGGGGAGCTGGCAGTGGTGGCTCCCCAGAGTGGGGCGGGGGCTCGGCTCCCTCCCTCCCTCTTCATTGTCCCCTCAAAGCCACGTGAGTACACACAGCCCAGTCACAGAAGATCGCTTGCAGTGCAGATGCAGCCTCCAGATGCCTTCTCTAGCTTCCTCCCAACTGGACATGCGTATGTGTTACGCTGTATATAAGCATATAGTTTTATGGTTCACGGAAATGAACATGCATGAGTTATAGTTGCCCATTTACGTCGAGGGGCACCATTGAAGAAGCATCGTGCAGGTCCGCGCTTCCATATTGAGAAGGACGTATTTGGCTCCAGTTCTCCATAAGTTGTCCTTTTGTAAACAGAAAGGCTTGTGTGCATGCCAGGCGCTGTGACCGTGGTCGGGGAAGTGCGTGGGGACGGCAAACAGCGCAGGAAGGAGGGTCTGCGTGCGCACCCCTGGTTAGCTGTGGTGTGGCTGGCGATCGAGCTGAACTGACTCTGCCCCTGTACCTCCCAGAAACGGTGCTATTCCGGGGGAAGAGGGAGAGAGTCTATTTCTAGTTCTCTAGCTTTCGTCCCCTAATGCTGCGGGGAAGGTTCTTAATCACATATACTTTTACAGGTTTACATTATACATGCGTATTTAACTAGCACTTACCATTTTAAGCACTATGCAAATATGACATATCTCGTTAAATCCCTGAAGAGGTTAGACATTATTATTACTATTATTCCCATTATAGAGAAATGGTAGAGCTATGGAGACTCCGCTGCCTGTTAGCTGGTTCATGGCACAAGTCGCCTCCCCTGTTAGCTCAAACTCATTGAAACCCCGCGTGTTTGGGATATATCCTGGATACTGAAGCCTGCGTATTCCTCCTCCGAAGCTCTGCAGACCTTCCGGGCTGTCACACAATGAATAACATATTTATTTTCTGTTCCATATTTATTGTTATTTCAAGTTAGGGTTTTGTTTTTAGTTTTTTGTTTTTTTTTCTTTGGTCTTTATTTGGATTATTTGTTATGCTAGACCAGGCATCAGGCAAAATCCTTCTATTTTCTCCTCCCCAGAGTCCAGCACAGAAAATACAGTGCTTTAAAGCCACGTGTAACAAATCAGTGTCCCACTGCCACGTTTATCCCCTGGGTGGGGATGCCTCCTCTTGGGTGGGGTAAGGGCAGGACGGTGGGCTGCGGGTGGCCCGCGATGGGAGACTCTGGGAAGAGAGTTGCCCCTGGGTGGGAGGGAACGAGAGTCCCGCCTGGGCCAGCCCACAAAGCTGCCCTTGGGCGGAGACTGTCTCTCACTCCCCAGCAGGGCTAAGACTTCTCTTTCCTTTTGATGCCTTCACAGGGTCAGCGCCAAACTGGAGGGGAACGAAACACTCAAAGTTGTAGAACTCGACAGAAGAGTGAACGCCACCTTCTGAGAGGCAGTCTCCGCCTCCCTCTTCCTCTCCGCTCTGCTTTTACGTCCCCAAACCACCTTTGTCATAAGCTTCCCCTTTTCCCCACTGATGTGGATGAAGATCTGGGTGAGCTGTCATGGCTTTGGATGGGAGGACAGCCTGGGATCGCCACCTGCGGTGAGAGTGCCTTCCCTTCCTGTCCCAGGTCCCTTCCTGCAGACGGAGCCTGGCATCTCTCCCTCGGTTCCGCTTGCTGCCGTAGGAAATTACGCTAGGGCCGGGGTGGGACAAGCGGGCTTGTTTCTACCGATAGTGCCGAAGAGATGCTGCCTGGTTCTCGCCTGCGGGTGTGAACCCCTCTCTGAAGAAAGGATGACTCATTCATTGGAGACCCCAGACTCCAGCCGTGAAAACACCAGGATGCCTGTTGGGATCTGGCAAAGCACTGACTGATATCCCGCCTCACTCAGCCTGGGTCTCCTGTGTGTCCGCCCCCTCCCCACCCCCACCAGCCCTGGAAGTGCCAGGCTGGCCCGTGAGCACCCCCTGCCACTCTGCTCTGTCCAAGCCCTCAAGCCCTTGCCTGCCGTCCTCTGGCTCTGGAGCAAGGGCGCCCCCTTCACCTTCTCAGGCCGCAAGTGCAATGCCTGACGGAATCAGGCTCTTCTACCCCAGGCAAACCTGCCCCGTCTGTTGCTTGTAGGACTTCTCCATAACCTGTGTTCCCACACGCCCATAGATCCGCCTCCCTGGCTTCTCCTCCCCGTTTGTAAATAGTATTTATTAGCTTGCCGAGGCTTCCTGCTCGCAACCACACTGAAGAGATCAGATGCCTCCCTCCAAGCGCGCCAAGCCTTCCGCTGGGCTTTGGCGCTAGGAGGGCCGCTCAGGCCCGGGGACCCCCAGTCCTCCAGGACACGATTCCTTCTCTCCTTTTTACCGGAGGCCTCTCGCTGTAGTTAGGACGTCCCTGCGAGCAGCTGCCCTCCTGTAGAATGAGCTGAGAGGAAAAGATGGCTCAGGCCTGTGATCTGTGGCCAGATGCTTGGTCCGTCCTGTGTCCACCACAGAGAAGGGAGGCCCCGTCCCTGACAACAGCTGTTCCGGACAACCTTGCCGTGCCAGCTCGTCTCCCCACACCCGCTCCCGGCCCCTCCCCTGCTGCCCCCTGCACCTGCTGTACCCTCCTCTTCTGCCTCAGCAGGAGGTGGGCCTGAGGTCAGTTCCTGGGGTCGGAGTAGGTGACATTTGTGTGTCCACAGTCTTACCTTTTATAGTCAGGTTTGGCTACTTTGCAGCTCACCCAAAGAGACATAACCTAACCCCCCAACCTACTTTTTTTTTTAAGGATTAAAGTAACTTTTGTAGTTAAAGGAAAAAATCTTTCCTCTTTCATACAGCTAAAAATGGAAATTGCCTTTTTATTGTACAATGTAGAAAGTTTTCCTTAAGTGTTTTCCCTAGCTTGTGAAAGATTTTGTGTAGAAGCATTTTGTACTTTATTTTTAGTAGAAGCTAAAGGGCCTCTAGCTTTAACTCCTCTCTCTCTCTGTCTCTCTCTGTCTGTCTCTCTCTCTCTCTGTCTCATCTACATTGTTATTGGAACCTGTACTTAAGAGGGATTAAGCCCACGGCTGGGCCTTCCATCCTCTGTCAGATACAGGATTGGGGATCATTAACATTTGCCATCATACCTCGTAAGCATATCTGTTTGTCCGCCGGCCCAGGGAAAGCTGGGGCTCCCTGTCAGTGACCCCTGTGTCTCCCCACTGTGATGGAGGGTGTCCCAGCCTGGGGAGCGGCCCGCGCATCTTCTCAGCAGGATGTGACAGCAGAGTGGGGACCGGGGGTCCTGGCCGCCCCGGGGGTCCTCTGCACGGTTCTCACTGTCTCTGCCATTGGCCGGGAGGGGCTGAGCCTGTCTGGGCTGCGTGGGTACAGGCGCTGCTGGCCTGCCTCCCGCGCCGGCTTCTCTTCACTCCCTTCTCCTCTTCTGCTCTGGGTCCTCCTGGGCCTGGCTGGTGTCTGGTAACCATGGGCCACTGCCGACCCATCCCTCTCGGTAAAATGTCATGCAACTGTCAGGCGTAGGCAACTTGTGAGGGCACAAGCAGGGAAAAGAGATAGAATTAGCTCGTGCAGTATTTGGACGGTAGGAAAGGAAAGGTTTCCTAGTTAAGGGCGGAGGTGGGAGAATGGGTTCACCTACCCCTCTGCCGCCCTGGAACCAGATCAGGGTTTTAAGGCTCGTCAATTGGCCAGAGTGGAAAACCCGCCCTCCTGAAAGGGGAGGGAGAAGGAGGGGGCCGGCCGTGACCTTAGTGCCTCGAGGATTTCATTTTCTCCCCCATCTTCCCTTTTTTGACTTCACTCTCTCCAATGTATAGTTCATGTATCAGAGAGATGTACACTCAACACCTATATGATCCTTCTAACCAGTGGCACCGCAATAAATTCAATAAAAAAATAAATACATGGCTACACGCTCTCTCCAGACCTCCATGCACCCGGGCCTCCTCTCTGGGAAACCATTTTTCTGAACGGAATCTGTATCTATAGACACGAGACAGACTGAGAGCTCAAATGGCCATTTTAAGGGGGTTCCAAGAACCAATATTGCCACTGTGTTGAGAAAAACTTGGGCCCTCCCCTCCCTGCTTTGGTGAGTAAAGGAAACTAAACAGTTATTCCTTCAGGAATGTGCCATGGGGACAAGAGACATAGAAGAGTTGGATAACAGTAGGTGGGTCCCAAACAGTTAGTGGATGTGTGCATGTTTTCTGTCCCAGGGATAAGCCCAGAATATCAATGGATTTATTTCCCTCACAGAGTAGCCCCGGTGAGCCCTGATGATTTCAAACAGGCGTAGGCCTTGTCTTCCAAATTTTAGTTTTGGAAAACACGAGACCGTTAGTGCAACCACAAACAATAGACGATAAATATGTTGGTTCTACATACGCTGATTATATATTACATCATGCAAACAGGTTTTCCTCTTCCCTGTCTTTGATTAGCCCCTTTGAAGGAGACTCTTACAAAAATTCAGGGAACAGGTACTTTTTCACTGGATGAGACCTGAGTAACCCAGACCCCCTGGGGCGGTTCTTTTCACAGCTCTCGACTTTGCACTTAGAAATAGATATGGAGAATCGAAGGCCTCAGTTCCCGCTTTGGGAAAGGTTCCTGTGAAGTGTTAGGACTCTGGAGCCTAGCTCACATAAAGAGAGTGTTACATAAAAATCCGACAGCTGAACCAGGGAGCCCCTTTAGGGCAGGAGGTGGGTGTGAGGTCTGACACCAGCGTGGGCGAAATGAGATGACCTTTTCGTTTATATCAACGATTTTGATTTGGAGACCTAATTTGTCAATCGTGAAAGCAGCTTTTAGCTCAACGTATTTACAAACCAACTATAAATACCATGTTTTTTGAATTCCTAAATCTCTCGGTTTAGCCCGAATGCCAAAAGAGGGCTATGACTCTCATGTGCCCGTAGAATGGGAGCGTTGAGCTGATTCGTCTTTATTCAGGCAGTGAGTCAGTGTCCAGAATTTTGTCACCAGTGTTTTATTTAAATTCTCAGCCCTTCATGGCTCCTTCCTGCCACATCACCAAACCAAGCAAAACCACAAAAACAAAATCCAAGGCCTGTCGGGCCAGCTCCTCTCAACACGCCTGTCATCTGTCATGGGAGAGGGGGAGTTTAGCGCTTGCACAAATGGAGACGCCCCACAGAGGAGCGGGGCCGCCTGTGCTGGCCCTGCTCACATCGCAGCCTGGAGATGGCCTCCTCTTGTCTGCCATGGCGCACTCGCTTGGTTCTGTCGAGCCCTGTCTTTGAGAACCTTTGTTAAAGACACCCGTGTGCCTACCTGCCGTGCTGCCCTGTGAGGCGCTTAGCAGGTAGTGCCCCAGGGAGAGTCATTTTATTTGGAGGCTTTTCAGCTGCAACAATTAGGAAGCATGTGGCAGGGCTGTTACAGGACAGAGCAGGGGCTGTGAAGGACCTAGAGACAGATTTCAGGTCTTTCACTCATTGATTCATTCCCTTCCTCCTGAGGAACAGCAGTGCCCAAGGCCGTGGGGAAGAAGAGGGGTCAGGAAATGTCATTAAGCAATAGCTATTCAAACACGCAAATGCTAGGATTCCCTCTCTCTCTGTCTCCCCCATTCCCCCGTTTGTCTTAGACACTCGTTTGTGCCTTACAGGTGCCTTATGTATGAGTCCAGGATGACTGAGGACTTTTGTCCCTGGGAAATATTATATATAGCCTTGTAGTATTAGATTGAAGTGGTTGTGGGAGAAATAATCTTTCTAAAGGCTCAAAAATGGTTTTCTAAAAGTGAACAATGATCTGATTTGTACATCAGGAGAAAACAATCAGGGCTTTGTCCATTAAGAAAATCCCATTTCGTTGAGGTGTAATCACATCAAAAATGACCAGTCGGGATTAAGGGTATTATAACTCCATATAGCAGAACATTTTCTCGGTGCAAAGGAGCTGGGCCCATTTGGGGATTAACGTTTGATACCTCCATGGCAAAAGAGTCAGCACTTAGCCCAGGAAAAAACCCATGTGTTGTTTCCTTTAGTCATCTGAGGCGACTTAAATTTCAGGAGTGCTTTATTTTCTCTTGGTTTTGAGAAGGAAGGGAAAAAAAAATTATTTCTTGAGCTCTAATTAAGTGCTGGGTGCTCCGCTAAGTAAGTTTTAAGTCTTTTCATTTTATAGACAGAGAAAACAAGGGCAACTCGTTACTCTGAGCTGGATAAACAGCTAAGTGGTTTTGTAAATTCAACAGTCTGCGGATTAGGTTGAGCGGGTTCCTTGGTGAAAACACTGTAAACATTTAAGTTCTATGAGCAGCAAACACAGTGCTTGCTCCCTGCGCCGGCCCTGCTGTGCGAGGTCCATGGTTTGCCTCCTGCTGACGATGTCCTCCAGGTAGACATTCATCTCTTGTCTTTTTCATCCAGCCTCCTGCGAGTTCCGGCTCGCGGGCTTTGCATCCTGGAAAGGGAAAAAAATGGGGGTCTTAGCCGTGTATCTCTGCTCTTACGCTTTGCTCACCAGCTGGGCAAAAACAGGAACTTCTGGCACCTTGGACCCCAAACCTATACTGCTTAGTGAATGTCTTTCGAATGAGACGCTTTGTGAGTCTATAGAAAACACCAGCGCTCTTGGACACCCTGTGGGGGGTCCTTTTTAAACAGTGCTGAGCAGACCCTGAGCTATAACCAACTCCGAGCGTTAATATTTATGCTGACAAGCTGGGCTTTCCTCTCGTTTGTAACAGGTTACATAGACCAGCAGTGTGTAAGTCTAAGACATTGCGGGTCTATTATGTGTTTTATCACGCTGTTTTTTTAAAATGACTTTTTATCCTTTATCTTAGCCAAGTAAATACCAAAAAAGAAATAATAAAATGAATGCTTTGTAACTTGTACTTAGTTTGAGGAAAAAATGAATTGAAATTGTTATGCTTTTGTATTCCATTTCATGCAAATAAAAATATTTTTTTCTTAAAAAGTCAAACGTTGTGCAGTCTCTGAAACCTTGCTATTCTGGTTTTGAGAACATTTGTTTTTCTCATGAGCGTGGCTTTATGTGCGTATGTATGCCTAACCATTCTTTTTTGATTATCTTGTTGAAGTAAAAGAAGCCTCCAGCCTGCAATTTGAGTGTGATGTAGCACTGAATCCAAGGCTCAGTTGGAGAAATATTGAGAAATGTAATTGTTTTTTCAGTCAGTCACAGGAAGAAAAACAGTATTCTCTAGAGATTTCTAGCCTGAGTGCTATTTTCGTTGTTTCCTCTTAACTGTTCCCTAACTCGATTTCAGAACTCTGTGCACTGGAATATGCTTCCCGGGGTCAGATGCTTGAGAATGAGGACTTGGACTTGAGCCAGAAGAGAAGGGTCCTTCTCCCTGTGAACAGTTGCGGAGGACGCCTAACATACATGCATGCTCTAGAAATTCCGATAAACGTCAATGTCGTCAAGCAAAATCATCTTATTCCATTGAATCTCTGCATTCAAATTTAATTTTCTCTCCTCAGAGGGAGTGTGGCTTCACTAGGCTTCAGAAAGAGAACCCAGGATGGGAGAGGCTAAAGCGGTGGACCGTGTTTACCTGGAGACAAACAAAACTAAAGCACATTTTTTTTTTGTTTGTTTCTTAGCAGCATGCCCAGCCCTGCCTTGGGCCCCGGGGGTGCGTTAACCTCCCACCGCCTTTCCCTCCTGAGCGCCTTGACCTTCTCCTCTTCCGTTCCTACACTGGCCCTTTCTCCGTGGAGGCTTCGTTTCTTTCTTACATTGGGAGCCTGTTAGGAAACTTCTTCCTCAACCTGCTGATGTCGACCTAGTGATGTGTGGAGGGGCAAATACTCGCCGGTGTGAGAACGTTCTGTATAAATCGCGCCTTTATATTTTCTGTGTCTCTGATGCTTTGACATCAGGGGCCTTGCTGATCCAGGAGGGACGGCCCCTCCCAGTGCTAGGCAACTTCGAGAGGTAGTACACTTGCCTACAAGTATACCTTTCATATGCAAACCAACCAATAGGGAGCCCAGACACAGCCACCTCCTGTAGACTCACAAGGGCCACTACCCCTCTGTCCCGATCACCCCAGGGTCAGGTGCCAGACAGCTAGAGACAGACCCGATACCCCAGAGCCCACTGAGATTATCCAAGCTAGCCAGTCCTAAGCCTGCTTACCTCACCTCACTTGTTCCTACCTACCTGCAGAAACCTCAGCAAAGGCTCTTGCTGACTTTGGCCTCTGCCTCACCAACCCTGGGGCTCGCCTGTGCGGCCCTTCGTGGTGTGGCCAGCTCCCTCCTCCTGGGAACCGTGAGTAACAAACTGTCTTTTCAATGGCAGTTGTCGCTTGATCTGTTGGCTTCGCCATATCTGAATAATAATAACACCTACATTTTAGAACACATTCCTTAGATGTTGAATGTCAAATCAGAGGCTGATTCCAGACTCCTGGGTGGTTGGGGTTTCACAGATGGGCCTGCAGTGGTTTAGGAGGATATGACGCAGATTTGTTGTCTCCTTACACACTGGTTGTTACTTTCATTCCAGAGAAGAAATGGAGAACTATAGGGAATGAAGGGGCTTGTTCATGGGGGAAAAAGGTAAATCTGAAGGGAGCTGTCTCAAGTCCTAGCCCTGTACCATGATTTCACTCACATGTGGGATCTAATGAACAAAGCGAACTCACAAAGAAAACGGGGACAAACTCATAGGCGGCGAGCAGGATGACAGCTGGGCAGGGGAGGTTAGGGGCTAGAAGGACTGAGCAAAAAGGAAAAAGGACTCACGGACATGGACAACAGTGTGGGGATTGCTGGCGGGGAGAGAGGGGATAGGGAACTGAATGGTAATGGGAAAAAATACAATAAAGACTAAAGTTTTAAAAAAAAGTCCTAGTCCTGTGCTCAGGGTCCAGGGTAGGTCCTCCCTGGTACTTCCAAAAATAAAAACTATAGCAAGAACACACTGGGGTACAGTGAGGGAGAGAACCAAGCCAGATTCAGGAGATACAGGGTTATGGGTACTCGAGTTCCACCATTAGCTTGCTGGCCCTGAAGGGAGAGGAGACACATTACCAATTATGTACCAAGTGATTTTCCTGTATTATCTGTGATCTTGTTTATTCCCTCCAGAAAGCTTATGGAGGGTATACAAGTATACCTTCCCACCCACAGTTGACAAAACTGGGGTTCAGACAGAGTAAGAAACTTACCTGAGATCATCCAGCAATTGCAGGAGGTGAGAGACTTGGAGCCTGGTCTTCACCCCAAGGGCAGGTGCTTTTAGTTACATTAAGCTGTTTTTAGGGCTTGGGGATCTTTACTTGTGAAAACATGGAGTTAGCCCAGATCAGGTTTTCCCAAACCCGCGGTTCCTGCCCAAGTGTTTCTGGTTTGGTCTTCATTTAAAAATAATTAGATAACCTTTCAACATTTCGAAGATTTTTCATAAAACTCCAGATTCCCATCCCCTCTTGAAAGACCGGAAGTCCTAGCAAGTTCAGGGGCTGAGTGAAGGCAGCCCCGCAGACGGCCTAGGGCATCTTTGGGTGGCCGCATTTCCCCCTGCCCAGGCTGGTTCACTCGTTTATGTCACTCACCTGGTCCTTCTGTCATCGGAAGACTAGGAGGGGGCTGACTTTCTGAGAGTCTCAGGAAAGGAAATAAGGGAAACGAACTGTGTTAGTTATGGGACTAGGAGGTGGGAGGGTGGTTAGTTTCACCCTGAGGGACGGGAAACAAGAGGCCTGAGCAGAGGGGGAGCTGGGCGGAGGTCAGGGCAGGTGTCCGCGCCCTGCCCTTCTTGGCATAACACGCACACACATACCCCACCCCCACACACACTGCATTGCCTTCTGGGTTCTGTCTTCTTAGTCCCAGAGATGAACCTTCATTCGCCTCAAAAATTATGGTAAAAAGTCTCGTTAATGATCCCGTTTGTAGAGGACCTTGCATTTACATAAAGCTCTTTCCCCTACCATGCGAGGCGCTTGCTGATTATTCACGAGGAAGGTGTGGCAAGCAAGCCTCCGAGGCTCCGTTGCTCAGCCCAGGGAGTGGGGGCTGCAGAGACATGGGCAGCTCCCGTTGGGTCGCACAGCGAGCGAGTGCAGAGCAGCTGTCCTGGTTGCCACCCCAGGACCATTTCCATTAGCTGTACCTCATCTGGGCAGGTGGCCCTCCAGCTGTCCACGCTGTGTGACCCCTCCAATGGGATTACTTTGCAAGGTGCCACTGCCATACTCCTTTTCGTAGAATTACCAGGAGTTTTGCCCAGGATTTGGGACACGCCCAAAGGTCCCTATCTGTTCAGAAAGGGAAAAGAGAAGAAGATGGCTCATCTCAGTCATTTCCTGCAAAATAATCTACGTTGCCATTGAAGAGGCTAATCACACTTGATCCCTCACCATCTGATGAGCCCAGGCAGGTTGCACAAGTTGACGCTGGCTTCCAATGGGCACAGCTGTTGCTAGATCTTCCTGGCAATTTTCAAGAAGAGTTCTGGCCCCACGAGGCGCCATGTGTTCTCTTTCTCCCTCTATGCTGTTGTTTTTAGACGGGGGAACAGAAATAGCCATTGAGGAATACGACGAAAGCTGCCAGAGAGGCTGTTGTGCCGTTCTTCAAGAAGTCTGTTTCAAAACGTTTAACGTCCCTGAAGTGAAAAGTGTCTGGGAATCGGGGCTGCCAGAGCGTTCCCAGCTAATGTCCTCCCCAGTATTCCTGCAAAACAGATGGCGAGTTCAGTTTCCTGATGGATTGCCCGAGAGATTCCAAGTGCCTCGGCTGGCTCAGAGAAACATCTCCCCCAAAAGAAAAAAATATATATAAGTATAAAACCACCTGCATGTTTAGACACCACCAGAAGAGAAAAGGTACCTTCCATCCTGAAAATGTTTTCTTTCTTGGCTTAGGAATCAGTTCCATGAGTTCAGCGATGGGTACAGCTTTTTACCATGGTTGCAGGTAGTTTAAATTGTAAATGAATGCGGAAAAGAAGATACAGTTGAAATAGTGTTTGCAATGCTGCACACATAATTCCATGCAACCCTGCCCTGGGGGCAGCCTCTGACAGGCAATATGAGCTGAACTGGGGAGGGTGCTAGAGCGGAAGTCAGTCAGAGTCAGAGACTGCATTATGGCACAATACGGAAAAGAACGGGGTGGAAAGAGTGCTTCTGAAACCAATGACAAAATTCTCCCGCAATACGATTAAATTAAAAGAAAATTATTACAGTGATATTGTACACAGCGAAAAAGAATTAGACTACCGAGAAGCTTTTATTGGAAAAATAGCTATTGTTCTCTTTCTTTTCCATCTACCAGCCCTACTTTTTGGAAGTAACCAATTTCAATTTCTTCTAGTGTTCATCTCTATATTTCTAAATTACATGTTTATGCTGCTAATACTCGATATGTCAATTTTACTATTTACTGTTGGGTCTTATTATGGTGCACTATGTACCACCTTCAGCACACACACACCACACTCTTCTCCCCATCTGGCCTCTCCCTTTTATCTTGTCAGCCTTCCTCAAAGGTCTGAATAGTTGTGGTTACATTCACGTGCACCGGAGGACATTAATGAGGTACAATAATTAATTATCTTAAATTGGAGCGTTAAGACAAGCGGGACGTTTGTTTTCCTTTAGGCTGGTGTTCTTTAAACTGAGCGATGAGGTTGGGGAGTCAATGGAGCATGTTTTGACCAATATTTTAAACAAAGAAAAAGAATGGGATTGGATGGGATGGAGATGCACAGAATAAAATAGAAAATAATCAGAATATTTTTAGTAGAGGTTAACACTCTCATGTACATTTAATTTCAGTCCTCTGTGTGTGTGTGTGTGTGTGTGTGTAAGTATTGTTCTGGGGAACACGACTGTGGCAGGCATTCCGGGACCAGGGTCGGGAACAGTGACAGGGAGAGTCATATCCCTGGCGTGCCTTTCACTCAACCCTCTGGGTTTTACCTCCTGCCTCG